GTCCGGCGAGGACTGGCAAGGACTCAGAGTGGTAGACGAGGGCAGGAAGGAATCCAAGGGCTGGAGTGCCTGGCTTGCCCAGCTCTGCAAACCCAGTGGGGGCCCTAAACAGGAATATTTTGTCCCCCTCCCCATCATGTCTCTTTCATCCCCTAAAAATGCTCATTGCACTAATTGCACAAACCAGAGCACCACAGCGCACGCTGCCCCACCCGTGAAAAAGTCTGTGTCAAATCAAATGACCGGTGTTCCGGGGGTAACACCAAATCACCCCCACACACACCCCTGGAGCTGCTTGGGGCCTAAACAATGGCTTACTCTGTTTGTGCCAGGCCCCACCACAGCTCTCTGCCCCAACCACTAGTAGATCCCTTATCCTCCGTGTTCCTCTGGGGGTGTACCGGAGAACCGGGCTCCACGTGCCCAAGGGATTAATGCTCAGGGAGGGTGATGGGCTTGGCCGACTCCCAGGGGTTAACTTGTCAGCCACTTTAATGACCTGTGCCTTCCCCCCGCTCCCCAGCAAACTCAGCCCCCCTCCCGGCCCCATGAACCTGGCTGGCCCCAAGCCCACATGGTGGCCTTGTGTCTGGTGCCCTGGCGGGTCCTGGCTGTGTAATTTACAAGGGGGTTACTCATTAACCTCCTTGGCGGGTCCCCTCTCCAGGGCCCAGCAGGGAGCGTAGGAAGGGGCCCACCCAGGTTAATGGGGGATGACCGGTGTCGGACAAGGTGTTTAATGAATCCTGCCCTCAGGCAGCTGGGCCGGCAGTCACAGGCAGGACGTGGATCCAACAAGTATCCGAGGAGGAAAGGGACAGTGGGGTCAGACGGCTGCTGGTTTGGACCCAGGCTCAGGAAGTAACGACCAGGGGTCTCCCAGTTGGTGGCCGTGTAGGGGCCCCTGCATTAAATGAGTTTGGTGAGGTCTCAGCCTAGTTTCTGTGTCTGCATCACAACCACTGGCCCATCAGCAGAGAAGGTCAGGATGGGATGAGTCCCTTCCAGGTGCGGCGAGGCACATGGCAAGGGGGACTGTATGAGGGGCAAGTTCTCGGGGCTGTGGGGAGAAGCAGAGCTGCCATGGGCCAGGTGCCTCCGCTTGGCTAGGTGAGTCACTGCCCCCAGGCGGTGTGCCTCAGTTTCCCCAGCTGTCAGGCACCAACAGGGGCTGGGGGTTAGCCGGCACTGCTGAAAGCTCATCCGGAGGTGACGATGATTTAGGGTTTCCATGTGCTGACTGACAAGCGATGGGGGGCAGGGGGGCGGTGAGTCACAATGGACATTCGCTGTAATGCCCTGCTGTGGTTTGGGCAGGGAAAATGGCATTAAGGGTGGCTGGGCCCCATGTAGCGCTGCAGCTGGACTGAGCCCCTCTTTACAGGCCCCAGATTTTCAATCCCCTCCCTTTGCGTTCGCTGGAGCCCAGCGCCGCCGTGAGAGAGGCTCCGGGGGGAACCTGCCCCTGGCCGAGCAGCATGGGAACCGTTACACCTGCCAGGAGCCCAGGCACAGGGCCGGCTCTGGCTTTTTTGCTGCCCCAGGCAAAAAAGCCGCCCGCTGCCCCCCTCCCCTCAGTGCAGCAGGGGAGGGCACAGAGCCCGGCCGCGGGCCCGCTCTCCCCGACCGTCCAGAGCGCCGGGAGGAGGGCAGAGAGCCCGGCCGGGGCTCCACTCTCCCTGGCGGCCAGAGCGCCGCGGGGAGGGCGGCGAGCCCAGTCGCGGCCCCGCTCTCGGGCTGGAGCGCCGCGCTGTGCCGCCCCCCTCCAGGTGCCGCCCCCCTCCAGGTGCCGCCCCAAGCACATTCTTGGTGGGCTGGTGCCTGGAGCCAGCCCTGGTGGCGGGATGGGGAGAGGGGGGCAATTTCCACACAAAACAAAAAAGGAATTCCATTTTCTACAGACCATTTGGTTGCCGAAACACTAGAAAAGTTTCCAGGTTGCTGATGAGAAGCAGAAATTCTCTTTTTCCACTAAAAAAAAAAAAATCAGGTTTGCCAAAAACCCGATTTTGCCCTCCACACATAGCTTTGACAGAACGTTGCCAATGGACCCTCATTTGAGCCCTGTTGGCAGGAACCGAGACGCCACCAATGACACACACATGCTCGCTAGCAATGACTAATTGAAAACATGGAGCTTTACGACCTCCTTTATTTGTACTTCTCTGTGCAGTCGCTGAAGCCGGCTTCTCCGAAGTCCCTTGTAGAAACCAGCTCCAACAAATAACACACAAAACATGTTGTGACCACTGCGTTTGCAGGTGGGTGTCACTGAGAACATGGCTTGGTCCAGAGCGTGAAGGTTTTAAGCAGTGCGGCCAAGTGGACGAAGCACTGGACAGAGGGCAGGAGATCAGGGCTCAATTCCTGGCTCTGCTGGGTGACCGTTGGCAAGGCACGTCCCCTCTCTGTGCCTCAGTTTCCCTATCTGTGCAATGGGGATAATGATACTGCCCCCCTTTGTAAAGAGCTTTGAGATCTACTGATGAAAAGGGCTAGGGAGATGTTCGGAGTTTCATAACCTCTCGGCTTCAAATCTTCACCAGACCAATACTGCTTTCGCTCCAGCTCCGGCTGGGGCTTTTCCGCCCGCAGCCACGTTACCCCAGCACAGTTTTAAAGCCTTCCAGTTTCTTCTTTTTCCTTTCCCTCCAAAAAACAAAAAGAGAAAAAAAATCACCTTCGTACTTTTTTTTTTTTTAAATCAGTAAAACTCTGTCCTTGCAGATCTCCCGCCGGGGATCTGAAAGAGGGTGGTGGAACAGAGTTTATTCAGGAACAAGGGGCGCTGTGAAGGAAGGCTCTGTCATTAACAAACACTTTCATAGCATGAAATACAATGGCTGGAGAAGCCTCAAACTTCTCAGCAGTGAAGTTTTCATGGCAAAATGAGTGTCCAACTTCCCAGCCCTGTGGCAGAACATCCCCACTTCACGAGTTCAGACAGCATGAGGGAGGCCCCAAAAATCCTGAGACTGGCTTGGGAATCATGAGATTTTTTAAATCAACCTTGGGTTCTTTTTCTTTGCTGTTTGCTTTCTGAGCCTTTGGGAGTCAAGTTTCCAAGATTTTCTTCACAACCACGAGAGACAGAAACTTCTTTTTTTTTAAATTAAACCTGAGATTCTCACATCATCACATGACTCCAGCAGCTGGAGCTTTAGGAGAAACACCAAATCTCATGGGACTCATGCTGAAACCAGGAATGATACTGCCGATGTCCCTTGCAAAGCCCAGGGGAACAGAGCCCCAATTACCTCGGACTGGTAAGTAGCCAGCCAGGACAAGGTGCCGAGTTTGCATCTCCTTGATACAAAAAAGATGTCAAGGCGTGTAGAGGGAGCTTGGTGAAAAGCAACAGACACCTAAGGGCTGGTGAGACAGGTTATGCGGCAGGAGGTTAGGGGAACGAAGGACTTGAACATCTGAAACTCAAGGGTTAGTCCTCCCAGCCATCCCACAGGCAAAACTCCCGCGGAGCTGGTAGGGGTGACTTCCAGAAACCAAGCACAAGGATTGGACAAGGATGGAGAGGAATTGCTTCGCACTAGGTGCTCCAAGGGGTCTTTCCCTTTCCATCCTTAAAGTCTCTGCACCACCGGCCTCCAAGGGGAAAATACTCAGCGGGACTGGGAAGATCTTACCCCTCATCGGCAGTCTGGAGAGGAAAAAATTTCCTGAGCCGTCTAAATTGCCCTTAGATTGTCCACTTCGGAGGGCAGGGACCATCTTTTTTGGTGTTTGTACAGCACCTAGCACCGTGGGGTCCTGGGCTGCGACTAGGGCTCCCAGGGGCCACTCACAACAGATAATAAATAATAACGTCTGGAGGCTTTCAGCCCTTCTGCCTGCCGACCCCCATCGGCCCAGAGGACAATGCCACACTGCTGCCCGTGCAGATCCCTATCTCTGGGAGCCAGCAGCTACTGACATTCCCTAGAGCTTGGCTGCAACGTAACCTGTCCCGAGGTGGGTATTAGAAAGAGACCTCGGGATGAGACAGAGAGTTGCCTCCAACCCACATCTAGGACCGGCCTGGAGAACGAACGTGCGTCCTTGGGAGCCAGAAGATGCAACTTCTCCTTCCCTAGCAAAAAGGGAGGAGGGATTCGACAGCAAACAGGTCACTGTTGGGTGCCCTCCCAGCCAGTGGAAAATGCCGCGGCTGCCCGGAAGGCAACGGAGCTGTGTCCGGTTACGCCAGCTGAGGTCTGGATCGGTGTGTGCGTCCCGGGGGCTGGAAGCATCGTTAGAGTCTGAGCATGCCAGGCCGCACAGCCTCAGCCTTGCCCAAGTCTCAGAGATCCACCTCCAGCCATTGCCCGCTCTGAGCCGGAGGCCGTCGCTCCCAGCAGCTCCCAGCCATCGAGCTGGTAAAGACCTGGAGCGCCCAGCACTCCAGCTGGAACTGTCGAGTTCAGCGGGGCACTGACGATTCCACCCAGCAAAGGATCTGTCTGTGCCTTGTCCGGAAGGGGAAAAACATCCCAAAGTGCCTTCAACACCCCCCCACAAACAACTCAAATGAGAACCAAGAGAAAAAAACACGGGGCAAGAGGTGCCCCTCCACCCCCGCACAACCCCCCCCCACAGGAGCAGCCGCTCGCCTGCATTTCCCACCAAAGGGGAAAAGACCCCTGTGTCCAGGGAACAGCCCAGCCCTCCGCTGTCCGGCCCAAAGAAGTGGGACATTGTTTTCTAGCCAAGGAGCTGTCACAGTACATTGCTCGTCCCAATGGCTTTGCCCGTCAGCGACAGGAGTGTCCGTTTTAGGCATCTGTCACCCCGCGCCACACCTCGAAAACGGCACTGACAGAGCGGGCTCTGTGTTCGCGGGGCGCCCCGGGTTTCCCCTTTGCCCAGACACGCTCTGCTGCAATTCAAAGGCCAAGTCACCATCTCCCCCAAATCGGTAATCAGCGTCTCGCTCTGCCGCCCCTCTCAAAGCCTGCGAGAAGCCCTGGCACCCAGGAGGCAGGGGACCTGAAGGGACTCGTAGGGTGCAGCTGGGGGCCTTTCCCCCACCAGGAGGGATGAAAACCGGCTGCTTACGTGGCTCAGATCCAATCCCAGTGCCGCGATGAGTGGAAGGGGTGTCAATGTGGGGATCCCTGGGAATCTGGACCTATAGGGAGGTCAGTGGCGGAACCAGACGATCCATTGCAGGGTCCTCATGGAACAGATAATAGCTACGGGGTCTTCTTTGCAACGAAGGCTTTGGAAGCAGCCGTGGCCGGGAGCTCCCCAGCTCTCAGAGGTACGGTGCCCCGTTCAAGTGACAGCAGTTCCTGGGATAGCTCAGGTCTTTCTGTGGGGCGACGGCAGGCCCGGGGCTGCCGTTGGTGGCAAGGGGGAGGCGCAGGGCAGCCAGGGCGGTGGGCGGCTCCTCCTCCAGCAGGTTGTCCGTCTCCACGTCCGAGGGCTCGCAGGAGCCCCGGCGCTTGTTCTCGGCGCTGTAGAAGAAGGAGAGGTTGCGGAAGCTGGGGTCCATGTCGTCCTTGATGCTCTCCAGTAGCTGGGTGAAGTTGGGGCGCAGGCGGGGGTTCTGCTGCCAGCACCAGCTCATCAGCTCGTGGCTGGGGGGAGGGAGAGAGGAGACAGACGGGTTTCAATCGGATCCAGCCAGCCGGAGGATCAGTCCTTCCTCGCCCGGCATTCCAGCCGGGGACAGGAACCCGACTTAATGACCTAGGGGCTGAGGGTATCCGTCCCTAGAATAGTCCCCACGCACTGCCCTGCCCTGCCCAAGTCCCCTGCAGGAGTGCCCCAGGGCCAGGCCTGTCTCCCATTCTCCACTGAGCAGGGCGAAAGCCGATGGAGGCCCACAACTCTGTTCTCTCCCAGCTTTAGGTCTTATTTAGAGACTCCTGGGAAGGTCACCGTCTAGGCCCGTGGTGATGGTGATGGGCACTATTCACACGAGCTGGCCACCGGCGTTAGACCCAGGCAGAGTGGAACGATGTCTGGACCCGGTCCTTACGCTTAAAGTCCAGGATAGGACGGGCAGGGGACACAGACGCATCCATGGAGGGGCTCTTCCCAGGACTCCTACCCCAGGCAGGGAGCTCAGGGGCACGGGAACAACTTACAGTTTCTCCGGGCAGTTCTCAGGCCTTTCCAGGATGCCGTTGTCCATCACAAAGCGAAGCACCTGCTCGTTGGACAAGCCCTGGTAGGGCTGCTCGGCCAGCGTGGCGATCTCCCAGAGCACCACCCCAAACGACCTGCCGGGACACAGGGACAGATTGGATCAGCCTCCTGCCTCCCCCGTGAGAGCCGCGGCAACAGCGTACCCATCGAGGCGTGGTTCCCCCACCCTCACCAGAAATCACCAAACCAGAGCCCTCATATGCCGGTCACATCATTGTTATGTCCCACCCAGCATTGCTCAGGCAGCCAGGTTCATTATGAGAGGATCCCATCTTCCTGTATCAAGTACTGTCTGCTGTTGGGAGCGGGATACTGGACAGGCCAGATCACTCCCGATGGTCCTCGAACACCTACCAGACGTCAGAGTGGGTGTTGAAGATCCCGTCCTTCAGGGCTTCCGGGGACATCCAGCGGACAGGAAGCAGCCCCTTGCCACCTTTCCGGTAATAATCCGTCTCGTAGATGTCTCTGGTCATGCCGAAATCTTGCAGGGAAGAAGGAGCCAAGGTGAAAAGGGGTCACTCACAAGGACCATCTGTCCCAGCTGAGCTCTCTGGTAGTAACACTGGCGTCTACACGGCGCCTTCCACCCCTGTGGCACGAGGAGGCAGGGAACTGACACCCCAAACCTGCTCCTTTTTGGGGCTTGCCCAAGGTCGCCTGCCAGGTCAGCCGTCACGCTAGGAAAGGAACCCAAGAGTCCGGGCTCCTTGTCCTGTGTGCTAAGCACCAGAAAAAGCTTTGCCTTCTATGCACAGAGGAGAAAACAACAACTCAGGGGCTGATGCTCAGAAATCCGGAGTGTTCACCCACATCTCCAGTGGCCCGAGGCAGAGATGGCCTGACTCCAAGAGGTCCGGAGGCTTAACCTAGGACTGGCCCGAACTCTCCAAGCCTTTTGGGCCAGCAAAATTTACATGCAACTCCACATGCAGAGGAGTTGATAAAGTGAGGGGCTGACCCTGCAAGGGGCTGATAGAGCCCAGGCCAGCCCGGGACTGAGATGTCCATCACCCACCTCCAATCTTCACCGTGAAGTCCTCCGACACCATGCAGTTGCGGGCGGCGAGGTCCCGGTGCACAAATTTCTTGGCGTTGAGGTAGGCCATGCCGTCGGCGATCTCCCCTGCCATCTGGATCATGTCCTTGAGTGACGGGGGGGGCAGGCCAGGGTTGTTCTGAGTGACACATCAAAATGGAGGGGGATGAAGGGCATGTGGCTACCGAGGGGCGGGCCCCGGGGTGGGTATGCAAGTCCCTCCATCAACATCCGTGGACAATTTTTGTGGAAGGAGCCGCGGGACCAGAGTCCTGGCAGTTCCACTTCTGAATTTCATGGGCTCAGGAGACCCAAACCAGCTGGGACCTAAATTATTTTTGTATTATCTGTACTGTGGTAGTGGCAAGCAGCCAGTCATGGCCCAGGCCCCCCCGGTGTGAGGCGCTGTACAAACACAGAGCGAAGAGACGGTCCCTGCCCCAGAGAGCTTCCAATCCCCACCCCAAATGTGGGGCGTATCTTCTTCCAAGCTAATTCTAAATCACCTACGGGACTGCTAAGGAGGTTGGCAGCAGGGCAGGTAGGGGCATAGATAGACACATCGAATGTGTAGGATTGGATGGACAGATGGATAGCCAGAGTATATGGGGATGGATGGACAGATGGACAGTATGGGGATGGAGGGATAGATATAGAGTATATGGGGACGGATGGACAGTATGGGGATGGAGAGATAGACAGAGTATATGGGGATGGATGGACAGTATGGGGATGGATGGTATAGAGTATATGGGGATGGATGGACGGATGGACAGACAGACAGTATAGGAATGGATGATGTCAGAGAGTCAGTGGGTCATGGAGTCCAGACGTGGCCCCTCCATATCAGGCCTGGGGGGCTCTGACCAGTGGCAAAGTGGGGGGAACCTTCTCCTGTGGCTGTCCAGGCAGTCCCCACTCTGTGTATCCAGAGATGTCAGCCCCACCCAGCCAAACCTCCTGGGTTCCCGGAGAGCGAGCGCCTTCCGCCTGCCCTAACATTCCCTCCCTTCCATCAAGAAGCTGACTGGCCACTTTCCAGGAGAGACAGCCTGAGTTTGGGTCCCGTCTCCTCCCCCCCAGCCGGCTCCTGCGTTCCAGGCCCCGGGCAGCAGAACAGCACAAGGCCCAGCCCCAGCGAGCCACCCACCTCTGCGTCCGGTCTGAGAGAGCGGAGGTAACTCTTCAAGTCCCCTCGGGTCATCAGCTCCATAATGACCAGGGCTGGCTGGCCCTGGGACACCACGCCAAGGAGACGGACCTGCGGCCAAGGCCAGACAGGAGTTAGAAAAGCAGCACCAAAGACTGGGGGGTGGCTGGGCCCGAAGGGGCTGGGGAGCCGGAAGGGCAACCAGACTAGAGGGGCCACTGATCTGATCCGGTCTGGGCAGGAGGCAAGATCTGATGCTAGCCAGATCCCTGCCCTTGTCCCGTTCGGCAGCAGACCTGATACCGAACTAGATGGCCCAAGAATCTGTTCTCAGACAGCAGCTGGTGGGATAGTGGAGTACATGGGCCCCTGGTCTGTCTTGTGGGGGAGCACCACGGATTGGATAGACCATTGGGCTGTCTTGTGGGGCAGGACCCCCATTGGATGGACGACTGCTTTGTTCCACAAGGACAAGGGTCAGGATAGCAAACTAAATGGTTTGGCCTGATATATCAGCAGATAAGGCAGCAAAGGAGATGGCCCATTGATCTGGTCGGACATGGCAAACAAACATTAGCGCCAACAAAGCTCCCAGAAGGAAAGTGATGGTGCCTGTCTGGGATGGGAGCTAAATGGGAGTGTAGAATTGGTTGAAAATATTCCAGATGCAAGAGAAAATGGCTTTTTTGTTTAAACAGAAAATTCTGCAGGAAAATGTCTATTTTCAATTAGATTTTTCAGGTTTTCATTTAAAAAAAAAAAACCTTGAAAATCATAAATTTTCCTGTTTTCAGCTGAAACTTTTCAGTTTGGGGCTTTTTGATGAAAACCTAAAAAAAAAAGAAAAAAAATCAAGAAAATCTTCAACCCAAACGGTTTCATTTGAGTCAACATTTTTCACAGGGGGGAAAAAATATTTCTCACCCAGCTCTCTCACATTCAGTTAAAATGGGCTGGTCCAAATCTTTCAAATTTCATGTAAACATTTTGCTTGAAAATTTGAATTTTGAGGGGGAAGACGTGAGACAACATTTCAGGGAATTTCCCCGTATTTCAAGGAGCTGGTCAAAATTTTTTCCAAGATTTCAAAATGTTACATTTTGATGAAAGAAAAACGAAAACCAACAGGGAAAAGGTCCAAAAAAATGGTCACAATATTTTTAATGAATAGATTCCATTCTGATCAGTTTATCTGATCTCCTGCTTAGCCCAGGCAGAGAATATCACCCAGTGATTCCTACACCAAGCCCATAGCTTGTGGCTGAACTAACGCATGTCCTGAGACAGAAACTCTACCACGACCAGCCCTTGTTAGAATCCATCCCCCTGTCCCCTCCCCACCGGATCCACACATACCACGTGGTGACACTTAAACGCCTTCATGACCGAGGCCTCGTTCAGGAACTCAATCCGCTCCCTCATGGTGGCCAGCTCGTTGACGGTCTTCAAGGCCACCTTCGTCTCCTCGTCCTCTTTCTCAATGCCCTGGGCAATCCCTTCGTAGACCATCCCAAAGGATCCCTGCCCCAGCTCCCGGATCACCGTGATCTTATCCCGCGACACCTCCCACTCATCCGGGATGTACACTGACAAGGAAGACACAGGCCAGGATTATGCCGATGCTACCGCAGGGTGCTTCATGGCTCCCTCTAGTGGCTGAGCCACAAAAGAAAATCAAAGTCTACTACTGCTACCAGCTGAGGGAGCTGCTGCTTTAGCTCGAGCTGTTAGTACTGCAGGTTCCATCCTGGCTGGGACCCACAGTGTGGGGTTTTGCTTCACGGGCCAAGCTATTGGGCACGGGGATGGGATTAACCCTTTAGGTGACTCCGAGACAAGACAAATGGCTGGTGTTTAAAAGGCTACATTCACGTGCCCCCGGGAACCCTATATGCACAACTACCCATCCACGTGACCCGCTGTGGGACTGACTCACTGACAACCTGATCCTGGCCACCCGCAGCTGCCACCGAAATGGCTGGGAGCAGCAAGTGCTCAGCATCTCTGTGGAGCGGACTCGTTACAGCCTGGCTCTGTCTACTCCAAGGATGCACCCAAGTGCAGGATTGGGGCCAAAGACGCAGCCCCAGAGGCCTTCACAATAAGACTCTTATCTTGAGTGGAGAGATTAAGCAAGGCACAGGGGTCCAGTGGTTCGAACACAGCACGGGCAGCGCTGACACAAACTGCCTGTGCGACCCTATTCTTTTCTGTGCCTCAATTTCCCCCATCCATAAAGTGGTAATATCACTTAGCGGCCCCTCGACGCTGGAACCAGCAATGGCTATTTCCTGGAAGTTGCCCACGTCCCAGCCCCTCTCTGGAGAGCGCCGTACGTACTGTCCGAGGTGCTGAAGTATTCCGGATTGACCGAAGCATAAAGTGTGCCGCTCGGGTACCCGTCATTGTTCCTAAGACGGGGGGAAAGCAGGACAAAAATAAGTGCCTCGCTCCGACAACGTCCAGCGAGGGCAGCAAATCATTCCAAGCCAGGCAAGCTCCTGGAGCATTCCCCAGGGCAACGGGCGCCTGCCATAACTCATCCATGTCCCAAGCCCCTGCAGCTCTGCTCCTCTCAAGATACGGCCCAGGACTAGCAATTCTGGAGTTACTGTTCTCAGCGGATGTGCACGAGGGGCCGATTCTCCATTGCTCCGCGCCTGGCATGGTCATTTACCCCAGGGCAGCGATGGTATACAGCCAAATGACTGCACCAGGGGGATTTGGCCCTTCCAGGCATCAGAAGGCCCCGTTCAGGAGGCAAGGAACCCCAGCAGGGGCTGAGCCTGTGTTCCAACAAGACTGAACTTCGGAGCAGTTTGTAAAACGCCCCTGCAAGTTCAGAAGGGGAAGTTGCAGCTACTGGGGAAAATGCAAACACTGAAAATTCAAATCCAGTCAAAATGCAACCAGACGATCCCAATTCTCATTCACACCCAGGACCCTGCCCGCCCCATTTTAGTAGCACACACGGCTCTGGAAGCAGGAGTCGGTGATACTTGACACCCCTTTTACACTGCCGGGGCCTTTGTGTAGATAAGAATCAGGACCAAAGACAGGAAGGGATCTGGCCCCTTTGAGCTACATAGAGATCCAGGGCCATCAAAATACACACCCGGATCTCAGCTCTCCCATTCACATGCAGAGATGCTTTTGGTTTGCAGCACAAGCATGGAGCAACCTGGTCTATTCAACCCAGACTGCCGTCCACTCCTACCAGCCGTGGCAGGGGCCATGCCAGCTGTGTCTGGATGGCTGAGGGTTCCTCTGAATCTGTGGGGTGGTTATTTTCTGAAAACTGATGCGATCTAAGGCTCACAGCTGGTGTTTTCCTGTTCTGACTCGGGCAAGCAAATAAAGTCGAGGGAGGCGGCGCCCTATCTGGGCTGGGATCTGAGAGTTGCTGTCACGTACTCCCGGGCCATGGGTGTATGAAAGATTTGGAGGGGGGGGAATCAGTGCTGGTCACCTCTGCAGAAGGCAGGTGGGGAAAGGGGGGGAAGTGAAAGCCAATGATTGCAAACAGGGTCCTTTAATTCTGGTTCCCCCGTCTGCTGCCATCCCCCACAATTCCCCTCACACACACACACCTCAAAAAACCCCATGTCTTTTAAGCAAATTTGACCTCATCTGTAAAGAGCCATTGTTATTTAGTGAATACACACAACATACCAGGCTGAATTACTAGATACACGGCTGGTCTGGTTGGGTTCTGGCAGCTTTTGAAGCACAGAATACAGCCTGTTTCCAGGCACATTCCTAGACATGACCGTAAGGTTTTCAAACACTGGGGGCCTGGAATCTCAGTGCCTCCGGTTCTGCACTTGGGCAGGGGGATGAAGGTGTGTGGGGGGGTCCCGTTTGCTCTTCCCATATTCCAGGGAATGGAACATCTCCCCCTAGGCAGCTCAAGACACCTCACTGCAGGCAGCTGTGCAGAAAGCCAGCATGTATTCACCACACGCTGGAAACAGAGGCTCAGGTCTTGCCTGGTGCCTCCGTCTGGAGGCCCAGCCCAGCAGGAGATGGGGGTAGAGGTGGCTTTGCGCCCCCTGAATCCTGAGCTGGCACAGGGGACTCAGGATCTGCCCTAAATACAAAGGAGCGTCCCACAGCTGGAGTGCAGCCCCATCCAGCCATGTCCCCCCCTGCACCAGGAGGGAGAGGGGACGACACTGGATGGGGGAATCTCTCCTGGCTGGGTCCAGGCTCCTTTGCGTTGCTCCTCCACGGGGCTTAGAACCTGGGAAGTGGCAACAGGCAATGGGATTCCATAGCCAGGTCCCGGAGGTGACCGGCTCCAAGCCCAGAGCCAGTGGTTCCCACGCTCCCAGCCTTCCCCTGAGCCAAGCGGCGTTACCTACCTTCTCTTATAGTAGAAGAAGACAAAGACCACCAGGCAGGTGATCACCACCATGAGGACAATGGGCATGACGGTCAGCAGCACGTAGAAGCCGCCAGACTCCTCCTCGGCTGCATGGGGGAGAAAGGGGAGGGAATAGACAGGCCCGTCACTGAGATGCTAGCAGCAGAGCTACCCCCTCCTGCTGGGGATGTGGGCATAGAGAGCATGGCCCCGGTGGGCCCTCTCCTGTGCCAGTGGCACCATAACTGGTGTGGAGAAAGTAAATCAGGAAGTGTTATTTATTCCTTCTCCTAACCCAAGAACTCGGGGTCACCCAATGAAATGAATAGGCAGCAGGTTTAAAAACAAACAAAAGGAAGTATTTCTTCTCCCAACGTACAGTCAACCTGCGGAACTCCTTGCCAGAGGATGTTGTGAAGGCCAAGACTAGAACAGGGTTCCAAAAAGAACTAGATCAGTTCATGGAGGATAGGTCCATCAATGGCTATTAGCCAGGCTGGGCAGGGATGGTGTCCCTAGCCTCTGTTTGCCAGAAGCTGGGAATGGGCGACAGGGGATGGATCACTTGATGATTCCCTGTTCTGTTCATTCCCTCTGGGGCACCTGATCTTGGCCACCGTCGGCAGACAGGATACTGGGCTAGATGGACCTTTGGTCTGACCCAGTCTGGCCGTTCTTATGTTCTTAATCCACTTCTGATGGGAAGGAACTGTGGTCTCCATACAGACTGTGACTCTCCCAAGCCAGCAGACCCACCCCTGCCCCTGGGACAGCAGAGTCTAGGGAGAGGAGTAGCCAGCAATTTCCCCCCGCCATCCCCAGCTCCGCTCTGCACCGCTCCCCATTGGGTGCTCCCTCCCCAGCCAGCCCCCTGCTGGGGAGAGCTGGAATTGCAACACCCCAGATACGTACCTGGGCCAAGGATGTAAAATTTGATGAGTCCAGTCCACGACCCGTTCCCGGCCAGCGAGGTGGCCCGGACCTTGGCAGAGTAATTCCCCGGCTGCAGGAGGGCGAGGTGGACACCCCCGTATTTGGCGTAGCGGTGGCGAGAGACACACACCACGGTGGTGACCTCCTGGGACGGGGAGAGAGAGAGACACGGATGTTCCCGCGGACTTGGGGCCAGTCGCCGTGACATCTGTGCTGAATAGCCCTGGGTTTATTTTGGGGTGTTTTACAGTAGCACCTAGAGCAGGGCCTGGGTGTGCAGCTCAGACACACCGTGCAAGCCAGGGCCTGCCTCTGAGAACTCACGGGCTAAAAAGAAACCCGTTGGGAGGAGAGGGAGAAAACTCAGGGAGAGCGAGGGACTTGCACAAGGGTAGAAAGGAAAGAACCCAGGTGTCCTGAGCCCCACACAGGGTTTAAGTATTCAATGAGTGCCTTGTATTAAAAAGGCAAATGGTTCTGTACTCCTGTCTGTAACTCCACCGGGAAGGGGGCCCACAGCCCCCCAGGAAGGGAGAGGCGTGGGGGTGAGCTCGGGTGAGCTGGTTAGCCTGTGCCTAGGATCTTTGATGGCGTTAACGTTTGCTGTCTAACGCTTTCCCCCTTACGGGTAAACGCGCTTGCTCAGAAAGGGCAGGTGGCAGCCGACGAGGACGCCGGGTACTGTGCGTGAGGAGACACGTGGAGCAGGCTGTCTCCAGCCATCTGTCTCTTGCGGGCGACATCACAGGGACTCCGCAGCCTGGAAATGACCCACTCAGGAGGGAGAGAGACGTGGGTCTCCAGCCGAGAGAGGCCACGGCTGAGGAGCTGGGAGCCTGAACTGGGAGCCCTTGCTGGACCACAGAGGGGCCAGGCAAGTGGAGTTGCCCTGAATGGAACCCAGGTGTCCTGAACCCCCACTGAGGGCCTTGTCCACTACCCCACACTGCCCTTCTCTACTGAGACCACCCAGCACACTCCAGCAACACAGCCGCTAGCCAGCGGATGGGCTGGAACAGAGCCCAGGTACCGGCTGCCAGCTTAGCCAGTCCCAGAGCACAAACCAGGGACCCCCAGAGCTCAAACCGGGGACCCCCAGAGCTGACTGCATGGGAGCAACACCCACAGCAGACTGTGGCGGAGACAGGAACATGCATGAATGCTGGTGTGGGCGGGGTCTCCTATCCTGGGGCAGGGCAGGCAGGTGCCATGGGCCAAGCGGGCTCGGGGGACAGGGGGGATGGGTCTCGTCACCTCGTTTTCCCGGCTGTACTTGATCTCGTATTTGAGGATGAGCCCGTTGGGGTTCTTGGGTTCCTCCCAGCGCAGCAGGACGCTGTTCTTGCTGGCCGGCTCCCAGGTGACGTTGCCGGGGATGTTATCCGCTTCCACTAGAGAGGCAAAGCAGGAGAGGCCGAGAGGTTCGCTCAGCGCGGGGAGCAGCGTGGGGGGGGGGGATCTGAGCGCTGCAGCGTGTGCGGATCCCCAGTGCAGCTCGGCCCCCAGGGCCATCAGCCCTGGCCCCCCTCCTCGCCACCAAACCCACCAGAACGAGGAAGAGAAAAGCAAAGACCTGCCAGTTCACCCCCGCAGGGGCCCGCAGCAGGTGGGGAGCGGAGGGGCTGGGCCAGGCTGAAATGCACTAGCCCAGAAACACGCTGCTCTACGCCCTGCCATCCGACCGACCGCTCCCCCTGCCACCCCAGCCCTGGGCCAGACTTGAGATCAGGCTGGTGGATCCGAACTGCGATCCCCAGGGGTTCGGGGTTGAGACCAGGAAATTCATTGAGCTGGTGGTATCCTGGAAGCCTGGCTCTGAAGCAAGTGTCCAGAGAGGGGAGTGGGCCATGCCTTGCTCTGTCTTAGCCCCCTCTAGCACAAGATGGAGGGTTCTCATATCCCCCCTCCTCGGGGCCAGTACGTACCCTCAGGCATAGTCCGGGCAAAGACAAAGGTGGCCGCACTGCAGCCCACGGTGTGGGCGGCGTGGTTGCAGGCGTGGATGTCGATGCGGTACTCGGTGAAGTGGCGCAGCTGGGAAATGACCGTCCGGTCCCGCACCACTTTGTCCTCAAAGATCCGGAAATCCGTTTGAGCTTTGGGGGCAGCGCCTGTTAGGTTCAGGGACGGCGGTTTCCCTGGGAGCTCCAGAGAGGAGGTGTTGGAGAGGGGGTGGCCAGAGCTGGTCAGAGCCAAGATGTCTCTGCGTCTTTTCCGAGTCCTGCGGGAGAGAAGTGGGGAGTGATGTCTAGTGGTTAGAGCAGGGAGGCAGGACTATCCATGGCTCTGGGGTGGAGTGGGCACCAGTGAGTTAGAGCAGAGGGGGCTGGGAGTCAGGACTCCTGGGTTCTCTTCACAGCTGTTCTTAACCCTATCCTCTGTGTGTCAATGGTGTACTGAGCCTCACTTACCTCTGAGGGTTCTTTTTGACAGACGTCACCTTCCAAGGGGGTCTGAAAAGACACAAATGAAAGGGGACTAGTTAGCGGATTATCGTGGACCGTGCCGAACCCCAGAGTCAGGGACCCCAGAGGCAAAGGAGTAACTCTCTCTGGCTGGCCAAAACCCTAGACCTAAAAATCAGAGTGCCGGGAAATTACTCTTAACAAACAGGTCAAATTTACCTGGTGTGGAATTTCGCTGCAAACCCCACCCTTGGGCTAGGGTCAGCACAGAGCTCAGCTAAACCTCATCCCCAGGTGCCCCCGTCCTGTCCATCATCATCCACATTTTACACATGGGAAACGGAGACACAGAGAGGCAAAAAGACTGGCCCCAGGTCACAATGCAAGTTTGTGCCAGGGCTATAGCAAGGATAGAACCCAAGAGTCCTGGCTCCCAGCACCTCTGCTCCAGCCGCTGGATGGCACTCCCTTCCAGAGCTAGGGAGAGAACCCAGGAGTCCTGAATGCTCCACCGGACACTACTCCTCCCCCAGAGACAGGAGTAGATCCCAGAAGTCCCCTGCTCTAATCACCAGCCCACACTTCCCTTCCCGTCCCTGTCTTTCCAGGCAAGATTGGGTAGTGGTCCCCCACACCCCAACGAAGCCACCCGCCCCCGGGCCATGTGGATGATGATGGAGTTGCTGCAATGGGTCAGCAGTCCCCCTTGTTCCTGAAACCTGACTAAGCTTTACCCAGCAGCATCTGGAGATGAGATGGAGTGGAGAGGCTGGGCAGGGAATCCCCCACCTCTGGCTGAGCCATCCTCCTGGTAGGTGGCTATGAAGACAGCACTGCAGGGATGGAGAGTGAATCCCCTCTCCTCCCAGCTAGGCCCCGCCCTCTGGAATACCCTCCCCCCAACTAAGCCCCGCCCCTGGAATACCCTCCCCCCAACTAAGCCCCGCCCCTGGAATACCCTCCTCCCAACTAAGCCCCGCCCCTGGAATACCCTCCCCCAACTAAGCCCCACCCAAGTACCTGGGGATGATGATGGAATTGTGTAGGAAGTTCTCAAACTTCTTCTGGAAGGAGACAGCCTCGCCCTCCATCTGCAGCTGCCCGCCGTCCCGGTGGCACGGGCAGCACCGCTCCTCCGTGTCCTGCTCCAGCTCGGGGGCCCCGCTGTCGTCCACGTTGAAGCGGGTGTCCGCACTGCTGGTGGGCAGCTTGAGGCCTGGGGGCGTGGGCAGAGAGAGACAGAGAGTGGGGCCAGGAGCAGGGGGGTGAGACACAGCCCCTCGTTGCTTCGCCGCTGACGCCCTCCCAGCAGGGTCACGGGGTGTCGGCTCCGGCCCAGGGAGCCCAATTGGAAACAGCAGCCAAGGCCCCAGGGGGCGCGTCCGTTCCAGGTCCCTTCCCCTGAGCGATGCTTTGACTCCATCCCCATCACCTCGCCTGTCCTCTGCTCCCGCAAAGGGTAAACTCGGAGACTCCTGAAATCCACTCGTCCTCCCTCTGCCCTGGGTCCTGATCCTGCCATCCCCACTCGTCTCTGATCTACCTCCAGGGCCTGGCGGAAGCACCTCCCATCGCTGCTCTCGCCCGTGGCTCTGCAGTAGCCCCTCTCCCCGGCCTCAGGCCTCACCTTTGTGGCAATAGTCATTGACGTAGAGCTCCAGGTCCTCGGCCAGCTGCTGCCACAGCACCAGGTAGTAGGTGATGTTCCCGTTGCGCTGGCTGGGCGGCTTCCAGCGCACAATGATGTGGGAGGAGGAGTTCGACATGGAGAGGACGTCCCGGGGCACTGTGGGGGCTGGACACCGGCATTGCAGAGACAGCTACGTTAAGCCCCAGAGATCCCGGGCTGGAGCCCCCTGCTCCCTCTCCCGGCTGCACATCCCCCCCGCACACACACCACTTTGCACCCTTGTCTGTTATGGAGCCGCCTGCACCGACCTCCCCCAACCACCATGGCGCCCCGGGGGCTGGATCCTGCTGGGCAGGGTCCCATCTCCCCACCCCCACCCCGGGCAGAGAAGCCTACTCAGGCTGTTCACGGGGGATTCAAATCCAGGCTCATCAGCACCAAAGCACAGGCCTCTCCCAGTTAAGCTAAAGGAGCAGCTCTGTTAGCTGGTCGCAGTAGTAGGCTGTTATCCTCTCAATGCACCAGCCCCTGCATGTTTTCTAAGCGGCAGCCCTTTCCAATGCCCCCCTGTGGCCACCCTCCTACCTGCCGGCATGGTGCGGACGTACACCACCTCGCTCTGCGCCCCGTAGTTGCGCCCCTCCTCGGCCGTGGTCAGGGTGATGGCGCGGACGAAGATGGCATACTGGGTCCAGGGCTTGAGGTTCAGCAGGGCCACTCCCGGATCCTGGTCGTTGTTCAGCGGCAGCTCCACATCTACCACGTTCCAGCTGTTGGCCCCGCAGGCATCCTGCCCCACGTACTCGGTCACGTTCTGAAAGGGCCTGGCCCGGAAGATACGCCACCCCCGGGGGTCAGTGCCCAGGCCGCCTCTGTGAGCCCAGCCCCTCTTCCCACCCACACGCCCACTGAGTTTCCCAATTATTAGGGACATCCCCGAAGCACCAAGGGGCTCAGGGTGCGGTTACACACCAGCTGGGTGGAGTGGAGCCCTGTCTCCTTATGCTACCGGTTATTGTGGCCCTTTGCAGGAATTACTTCCCCTGCCACTGAAATGCATGCAGCCACCTCTGGGGTGGAGCACGGCAGCTGTTTAACAGCCCCGCAGCAATGCTACACAAGGGGGGTCTGCAGCTTAGTCCTAAGTGAGCAGCCCCTGCCCCTGTCCACCCCCTCGCAGCCTCCCCGAAATCCCAAGGGATATCATGAAGAGCCAAGCTTGCCAGTGCATCAGCCCCTGGCCCGGGCCCTTTGGCGGGACCGGAACCGTCAGTGCTGCAGCACTTGAGCTAAAGGAGTCACGTCACTCGCCGGTGGCAGTAGTAGGTTGTTACCCTCTTGGCTTCCAGCCACATGAGGGAGTGGCGTGGCACGTGCGAAGTGGGTGCAGCACAGCCAGGAGCTGGCGGTGGGGTGGGAGGGGGACACTTACGATTCCTTGTAGTAGACGATGAAGCTGAGCAGATCACGGTACTCAGGGGGCCGGTAGCGCTCCCACTTCAGGAAGATGCGGTCGGACTCGGTGATGTTGGAAACGAAGCGCAGAGTCTGGGTCTTGCCTGCGATGGAAGCAGAGAGCATGGGAGGCTGCGTGGAATAGGGCCTCAAAAAAGCTGGGGGGGCTGCAGGTCACTGAGGGGGACTGCAGGGAATGGGGCCTGAGTGGAGTTTGGGGGGAGGCTGGGAGGAACAGGGCCTGAGGGGAGCTGAGGTGGGGAACAAGTCCTGAGGAGAGTTGGGGGGGAACAAGGCCTGAGGGGAGCTGGAGGGGCTGGGGGGGAACAGGCCTGAGGGGAGAGCGCTGGGAAGGGGGCTGTGCTGTGTGAAGTCTGGGGAGCGCTGGGGAGAGGCTATGGGGTGTGAGGCCCAGGGCGTTTTCTGACAATTCGGTGCTGCCCTCTTACAGGGGAGATTGCAGCCCCCACTGGGGTCTGCCCCAAAGCCCAGAGCAGCAGCAGGAAAGGCTCCCACTGACTGCGCCGGCCCTAGCTGGGAGACGCTGGAAAGGCTTTGGGGCGAGCTACGCCCTGGGCCCAGGCTGTTAATGAAGACTGGGCTCTAGAACGCATGTTATGGTTTCGTTTGCCACGTAACCCTTTGTTCCCAGCAGTGCAACTTGCTACCCCTTGATTCACGGTCCTTTGTTAAATCAACTTCTTCTTGTTTGTACTCGAAACAAGGCTAAGTGCTGGGGGTTAAGCAGAGCTGTGGTCAGAGGCATAACGGGGAAGTTGGTGTGTACAGTGCCTTTGGGAGCAGAGGGGCTGGGAGCATCCAGTGGATCGAGGCTGGGCTGGTCACTCCCGGAGAATGCTCTGGGGACTCAGGGGTGGGGGTGCCCAGAGGGGTGGGGACCTGCAGAGGCCTCTCTGCTGAGATTGCCAAAGAGAGAGGGGCGGGGGGGGTTCACTGAGACCCACCCAACTCGTGTCACCCATGGGTGTGCTGGTCTGGTTCTAAGAGAGGCATCCACCCAATCGCCCTCAGAAGCCCCCGATTAGGGTTTACTGAAGGGGACGGGGTGGCTCTTCTCTGAGCCCATCCCTTAAAGTCTCTCTGTGCAACGGCCGGGGGCTGGAGGTACCTCGCTGCCTGGTGGCTCCAGGCCCCCCAGATGGCAGCTTGGGGCTCTCAGCAGCCACCCCAGCGAATGCTGTTGGGCTTCCTCGCTCCCTCCCCGCCCCCAGGGCAGCAGGGGTGTGACAAGGTCCCAGCCGGGCGCCCGGGACTCACAGGAGGCTCTGTCCCCGTTGGTACGAGGATTGATCTCGGCTTTGTTCTGCCGGCCCTTGGTGCCCGTCACCTCCTCCATGCGGTAGATCTCGGACAGGCACAGCTTGGGGTTGAACGCGAAGTACACCTTCCCCACGGGGATGGAGAGCATGTGGTGGCTCCAGTCCCAGAGCTGCTGCAGGTTCTGGTTGTCCAGGACGTAGAGGGTGTAATTCCTGAGGGCGAAGGAAGAGGCGGCTGGAACCACGGGGCCGGGATTGACACCTCAAACAAGGGGATTCGCTCGCACACACCCAGAAGTGTGCACGCACGCCCAAACACACACCTCTCTCTCACACCCACAAGACAGATGCACACATGCACACGCCCCTCCCCCCTCCCCGATGTGCACTCACAGCACACAGAAGCGCACGGACCCACAGACAGATGGCACCCACTCCCATACACACATACACACACAGCACCCCTAAACCAGACACACACACGCTCACACAAACATGCATCCGTGCACACACACACACGTGGAGGTCTCCTAGCATAGAAGCACATGAACACATGACACGAAGCCACACACGTGTTTGCAGAGGTCTCTCACACATACACCGACAGACCTTTCTCTCTCATCTCTCCATGCTATACAATGCAAGCCATGTTTTCCAAGCAAGGGATCTCCTAGTGCCCAGGGCAAGGGTCCTTAGCTGCTCCCCTAACACTACATGTCCTGCCCTCTGCTATGCAAGAGGAAGGGGCCTCTACCCCATAGCTGGAGATGCAGCGGGACTGACGCCAGTGGTGGGATGGAGGCCACCGGATGTGGGAGGCACGGGAAGCCCAGCTGGACCGGGAATCCGCCATGTGCTAACACGTGGTAAGGAGAGTGGCTGAAGGGGTCGAGGTGGGAGCAGTGGCTACCCCCTAGCTAGAGCCCCCATTTCCCAGGCTTCTCACCCGTCCACCATGGAGTCCCCCCGGATGAGCTTGAGGTTCTTGAAGAAGGACAAGGAGACGAGGGCAAAGGAGTGCTTGATCTTCAGGAAGCCCGTGATGGTCTCAATAAGTCCCAGACTGTTCTGCAGCTCCGAGACCAGGTTATCTGGAAGCAGGAAGGGAGAAAGAGCCCCTAAGGAACGGGCGGCCGCCCACGGAGATTCCCCATGTCAAACGCCAGGTGGAGAGGCTAGGGGGAGAGGGAGCTGAACAGGACATGCACACAAACCTGGGTGTCTAACACAGACATCTAAGCCCCTCGGGGTGCGTCAGCCACCCTGAGACCAGCCCTGCACTCGGGCCGTGGAGGGCAATAATCATAAACCAGCGACTGCCAGCCCCATGACCAGGTCTGGTCCGTTCGTAGGACTGCAAAGGAGAGAGCACGGGCCGGTGCGTCGAACACCCTGGGTTCTATTCCCAGTTCCATCAGCGACCCAGCACCTGCCCCTGGGCCCCTCGGCAGGACCCAGCAAACTCACATCACCCGCTGCCCACGGGCGCCAGCTGGTGGTTGTAGGCCGGATCTAAAGGGGACCTGCAGGGGACAGGTGCCCCAGAGCCTGCCCAGTCACCCCCGAGCCACCCAGCTACCCCACAGCTGGAGATGCGGGGGGATCGGATATTGAATGGTGGGATAGGTTGGGAAACCCGGCTGGTGGTTCTCACGGCTGTGTGTCAACAGATTGGGGATGGGGAAGGAGGTCAGAGGCGGGTGGGGGTGTTTGCGTGGGGGCTGGCCCATCTGGCATGGGGCGGGGGGAAACACTCACAGCCCCTGCGGATGTTAACGATCAGGTTGCCCTCGACGTAGGTGCAGCCGGCCAGCTCCTGCGCCGCGCGGGTCGAGTCGATGGTCTTGGTGCCCACCTTGCACTCCTTGGGGCACAGCCCCTCGCACTTGTGGCAGAAGATGCTGGGGAGGAAAGGAAGGAACAGGAGGGGGAGAGAGACAGGGGCAGATTTGTTAGTGCCCCGTTGCCTGGGGTACAACCCCCCCCCCCCGAGCCGTGCAATTCCATGTCGGGAGGGCCATTGCGGGGACAGGTGGGATGTAGGGGGGTCACTGTGGGGGCAGGCGGGATGCAGGGGGTCACTGCAGGGGCAGGCGGGATGCAGGGGGGGTCACTGTGGGGGATAAGGGGTCACTGTGGGGCCAGGCAGGATGCGAGGGGGTCACTGCGGCGGATAGGGGGATCACTGCAGGGATAGGGGGTCACTGCAGGGGATAGGAAGGCTATTGCGGGGGCAGGCGGGATGCGGGGAATCACTGCAGGGGTAGGGGATTGCTACGGGGCAGGTGGGATGCGAGGGGGTCACTGCGGGGGCAGGCGGGATGCAAGAGGTGTCAGTGTGGGGGATGGGGGTCACTGTGGGTGCGGATGGGATGCAGGGGGGTCACTCCGGGGGCAGGCAGGATGCAGGGCTGCGGGGACAGACGGGATGCAGGGGGAGTCACTGTGGGGCATGGGGGGGGTCACTGTGGGTGCGGGGGCAAGCAGGATGTGAGGGGGTCACTGCGGGGGCTGGCAGGATGCAGGGCTGTGGGGGGTGGGGGCCTCAGCCCCCAGGAGAGCCGCTCACCTGCTGTCATTGCGCGTGTACCCCGAGGGGCACTCGGACAGGCACCCCTCATGGTGGATGACGAACTCAGAGGCCTCGCGGGGGTTCTCGGACACCTTGCGGAGGCTGGCGCAGTACTCAGCCGTCACGCAGCGCCAGCCCTCGTACCGGTAGGTGCGGGCCGGGCAGGAGGTCAGGCAATGCCCGTTGAAGTGGAAGTGGCGGCAGGCCACGCAGGCCCTGCTGTCCCACGGCCGGCTGCAGCCTCCCAGGCACTCCGGGTGGCAGCATTCCCCGGTGACGGTGCAGGCGATTCCGTCTCCACAGGGACACACTGGGGTCAAGAGACAGAGAAATCGACTAGAGGTTAGTCCATTCTCCCCCACCCCCCACCCCCACCTCTCCTCCCCACGAGAGCCGGATCAAGGTCTCGGCTCTCTGGGTCTGTACCCAGCCCCTGGAGCCGCGAGATTGCATCCCAACCTCAGCCTCCACTGACAACAAATTTATAGCGCCCGTGCTTTCGAGGACAGCTCAAAAATGGGACCGGCGTGTAAGGTGTGTAACCAATGCAGTGATGCTGGCCTGGCTATGCTGCCTCGAGTGCAACCGACACGGAGATGCTTGCCTGAGTCTGCAGAGAGCCTGAGCCAGTAACTCTGGGAGGGGTGGAGCTGCCCCTTTCCTTTCAATTGAGCCCTAGCTCCAAGCCCCTCTGTTCTGATGGGCCCTGCCAAACCCACCTCAGCAAGGGGCTGTGTGTGGGGCAGGAGAGGAGGAGTGCAGTAGGCCTGGCCCACCCCCCCTCATTCTCACCTAGCTGCTGGGGTCAGTAGTGGGGGGCCCTGGTACAGAAGGGGATTCCCCTACCACTCCCTCCTGCTATATGGAAGAGGACAAAAACCATCCTGCCACTCCAAACCACAGCGCAGGGCAGGGCCATGGCATGTCTCAATCCAGTCCTCACCCCCACTCCGGTTCCCTTCCACTGGGTGCCCCACAGCATCCATTCCGTGGGGACGAATTCATCTCGCTATTGGCTGCTCCTAAGGACGGCTGGCAGGGCAGTAGCTCCCACTTCCCTCTCTAGGCCAGGCTTCCTGGTCAGACTACATCTCCCATGATGCTCCCTTTTGATAAGGCAACGTAGCATCATGGTAGCAGCATGGCTGCAGTGCATCATGGGAGATGAATTCTAACTGGGGAGCCCAGCCCATAGAGGAGAATGGGGGCTCAAGGCACCCAAACTACAACTCCCATAAGGTGCCCCAGCAGCAAAATATTTAGATTTTCAGCCAAAATATTTCATTCTTGGCCGAAATATTTCGATTTCCCATGGAAATGTCTGGTTTTGTGTGTTTGGTTTGTTAATGAAAATTTAAACATTTCCACCAGAAGCAGACAACAACAAAAAACTGTAGTTGAAAGCCCAATTTTTCACTGAAAAAGTTTTGATGCAAAATTTTCAACCTGCCCTAGCCACCAACTCCACAGGCAAATCACATAGGGAAACTGAGGCAAAGAGCCTATCGACCAAGGGCCTTTGCCTTTCATGAAAGGCGCCGCGTGAGCTCTAAAGTTCTGTTTCCAAGGGAAGAACTTCCACCAGTGGCCAACTTTTCCGGGAGGGCTAGGATAAGGGAAAGAGATAGAGGGAGGGAGACTTTGCTGCTATGGACAGGTAGGTGTAGGTCGCCATTGGAACGCTGCATCCCTTAGGGAGGTCATGTGCTGGAGCTGCTAGATGCATGTGGGTTCAAACCCCGCAGAGGCGCAGAGCTCTCATGCTGGTGCCAGGTGGGGCCTGGGTTCTAGTCTCTGCTCTCCCTCTGAGTAGGTCCTGGGCAAATCATTTAGCCCTCTCCCCACCTCAGTCTCCCCCATCTGGAAAACAGGGCTGGTCACGCCTGGCTCAAGCCATGACGCCATCACGCTTGTGCTGCTAAGACAGGGCGTCGCTGGGTTTGGATGAAACCCTCGAGCTTCCCGGCCTGGGGACAAGGAAGGATGGCTACAGGGTGTGGTTGGCCAAAGGTATCACGGGGGACTCCATTTTTAAAGCAGCAGCCACTTGAGTGATGGGGTTGGAGGGGGCAGGTGCATGGGTGATGGATAAAGAGGTGTGTCTGGGGATGGATGAATGGAGAGGTGTGGGGGGGATGGATGGAGGGATGTATATGGGAAGGAAGAGACAAAGGGAGGGATGGATGGGGGGAATGAATGAATGGAGGGGTGGTGGGAATGGATAAATGGAGGGGTCTGTATGGGGATGGATGGAGGGGTGCATATAGGTAGGACAGGAAGGAGAGAGAGGGGGATGGATGGATGGATGGATGGATGGATGGATGGATGGATGGATGGAGGGGTGGCAGGAATGGATGGAAGAAGGGGTTCATATGAGGATGGATGGATGGACGGAGGGGTGGGGTGGGGAGGAATGGATGAGTGGAGGGGTGTGTATGGGGAGTGGGTGGAAGGGTGCATATGGAAAGGAAGGAAGGGAGAGAGAGAGAGAGGAATAGATGGAAGGGTATGTGGGGGGATGGACGGATGGAGGGGTGTGTATGGGGATGAATGGATGAAGGGGTTCATATGAGGATGGATGGAGGGGTGGGGGGAATGGATGGATGGAGGGGTGTGTATGAGGATAGATGGAAGGGTGCATATGGAAAGGAATGGAAATGGAAAGGAAGGGAGAGAGAGAGAGCGAAATAGATGGATGGTGCGTGTGGGGATGGATGGATGGATGGGTGTGGGGAGGGATGAATGGATGAAGGGGTTCATATGAGAATGGATGGAGGGGTGTGTATGAGGATGGGTGGAAGGGAGCGAGAAATAGATGGATGGGTATGTGGGGGGATGGACGGATGGACGAATGGACGGATAAACTGATCACTCCAAGCCGGTACAGCAATCCCTCCACCGAACTGAGCCCCGCCGTTCCCTGCCGAGGCCTGCGGTGGGAACGGGGCAGCCGGAGGTGCAGCCCTGTCCCCGCGCTGCAGCCGCCGCAGGAGGTTACATTGCCGATAAGGATCTGTGTTTACAGTGCATATTTCATTACGAGGCCTCCTGTTTACAGCAAACGAGCCCGGGTGGGTCCCATATTTACCCTACCGCTGGGAAAACACGGCAGCTGGGAGCTGGCCTCTTCTCAACAGGATGATACAAAGCAGATCCTATTACTCCCCATTGTGTGCCCGTCAAGAAGCGCCCCAGCTGCGTGGAGACGCGCCGCTCTGTCTGCTAGTGCGCAGCAGCCATCCGACGGCCCCCTCCACGGATTTCACGGGAAGTCTCGGGGTCTGTCTACCGGGTTTCAGAGCGGGACACGCTACAGCAGCAACACCAGGACAGGGGATCTCAAGTGGGGTTTGGACCAGTGCTGCTGTCTATACCAGCAAAGCTACCCCGGAACAGAGACCTCCAGTGTAGGCAGCCCCCAAGAAAAGGATCAGAGCAGACACCGTCCCTGCTCTGTCTGACTCAAGCCAGCTGGTTAAACCGGACCTGCTAGGTCATTACAGGTTGGGATGTTTTTCACAGGCACCTAAGTCCCTTAGGTTTCTAATGCCCATTGACTTTCATCTCCCTTAGGCTCCAGGGAAAAACTGAATCCTCGTGTAACTCAAACCCCAATCAGATCTTCGACAGGCCTTCAACCTCAGAACCTGGATCCAGAATTGAATCTGGATCCACATTTTGCCAATGATTCACTCCCCCACCCCACACACACCCATTTATAATGCGCCAAAACCCAAATCCTGGATTCAAATTTTGGATTGTTCCAAGTCCAGGCCCAAATTCTGTGAGGTGAGTCCCTGTCTAGTTTAACACTTCAATGGAGGAGAGGGGGCAGCTTAGCAAGGAGAAAGGGAAAAATCTCACCTCTAGGCCCAGCCCAGGTCATTAGATGCTGACGGTTCATTCAAATGGAAGGGGCCAGAGAGGGGAGAGGTGGGTTAGGAGCAAGGTAGATGGTAGAGAGATTACGGGCAGGTTACACCACCTGGAAATAGGTGTTTACGGTATACAGTGCAGCTACAAAATTGTGATGCTTTTTGTTTTCTGTGTACCGCCCCTTTAAAATTTCTACGCGGCAGCTATTCTGTTCGGGCAGTGGCTGCAGCTTGTTACCCGATGAGGCACACACACACACTGTGCTCTCCCCAGAGAGACTTTACTTTTGTTCTTTCTTGCTATTGGTTTTGCCCCTTGATCTAAAAACAAAGTCATTTGAAACTGAAAGTTAATACGTTTCCCTCTCTGTTTCTGCAAACTGTGTCAGAGCAGGGCACTTCTGTGAGTTGCTCACCAAAGCTAGTCCACTAAACGCTGGCAAGCCAGCTTCCCTACTTCTCTCAGTGACTTATTTATTTGTTCCCTACGATCCTGCCACCTGTCACCTCAGGTGGCCAGCAAACGACACATGTTGGAAGGATTATCAACAATAGTGCCAGTGAAATTTAAATAAACAAACTAACCGTTTTCTAAAAATAAATGTCCTCTATGAGGTGTCACGTCAACAGAACGCATGAAGGTGTGGTCAGTGCAGGATGTGCAAAGAGGCTCGTTCATGTAGGAATCACTTGGTGAAGGTCTATGGCCTATGTTATGGAGAAGTCAAACTAGATTCTCATAGTGGTCTAGCAATTCCTAGATTTTAAGACTAGGGTCCATCTAACCCAGTATCCTGTCTTTCACGGTGGCCAGCACCAGATGCTTGAAGGTCCAAGAAACCCGCTAATGGACAACAGAGGTATAACTTGTTCACATGTGAATTTTTCTTCTTAATCCTCTCAATTAGCAATTGGCTAACATGACGGTTTACATCCCTCGTGCATTTTTATCCTCTCTCGTGTAACCATGAAAACATCCATTAACCAAGTGCAAATGTCCAATCCCTTTTCTGAATCCTGCTAAGCTCTCAGCCTTGATAACATCTAGTAGCAATGAGTTCCACAGGCTAATTACGCTTTGTATAGCATTTCCTGGGATCGGTTTTACAGCTCTTGCCTTTTAATTTCATTGAGTGCTCCTGGGATGACAGGCACAGCCAACGTCTGACTTTGCCACTCAATGGCTATACCGAATTCTTGCAAATAAAATCTTGAGGCTGCACCACACCCTCACCCTCTACGCGCAGATTTTGTCCTGTGTCAGTGAGGGGTGTGATTCTTTACTGATATAGTTATACCAGCACGATCCTTAGAATGAACCCAGTTAGACCAGGATAAAGGTGAGTGGGGTAGCTTATTTCCCTTCCTCAACAGGAAATCACTGGGCATAAACTACATGTAAGCACCTTCATACCTGGACAATCCACACTACGGCCAGGTCTACACTTACAATTTACACCGGTCAGGGGTGTGAAAAACCATGCCCACCCCAGTGATGTGGCTCTGCCGAAATGCAGCTTTGCAGACAGATGAGCATTGTGGTCGGCGTAGCTAACACTGTCTGGGGAGGTGATGATCCTACACCAGCAGAAAAACCCATTCTGTTAGCAAATGCTGACTCTACCCTAGGGGCACAGGGTCTGTAGTGTGGACATGGCCCCAGGGGTGTTTCTACTACACCACTGTAGTGAAAACAGCACAGCTGCTGTGTGTAGACAAGCTCAGTTTCTCTCCTATACCATGAATGAAATCCTGGCCCCGATAGAGTCAATAACAGACCTGCCAATGACGTCTCTAGAGGCAGAGTTTCACCCTATAGCCATCTATATCAAGCACTATTTTATGTCCCATATTTTAGCATTTATTATTATCCTGTAATAATACTGCATTCGTATGTTTAACTACTTAATGAACATTTTGATCACTGTAATGCCCAGAGGCCCCAACCAGGATCAGGGCCTCATTGCGCTAGGTGCAGGACAAAAGGATTTGAAGACATGGGGCCTGATTCTTACACCGAGGCCCCTTTTCAATGCCAGAGGGCCGTTTGCCACGGGGCTTGGTGGATTCCCCATCACTGGCCATTTTAAATCAAGATTGGATGTTATTCTAAAAGATCTGCCCTCGGTATTATTTTGGGGCAGTTCTCTGGCCTGCGTTATGCAGGAGGTTCGAGCACAGTGGCCCCTTCTGGCCTGGTGCGAAAAGGCGAATCAGACTCACAGTCTTGGCCCTGAAGAGTTTACATCCATGTGACAAATTGCAGCGTCATGTTATCGACTTCATGAACACGACACTTTGACCACCTCACTTGCACTCCGCCCACTAGTCCCTCTTTCCCAGGGCTACTTTTAAAATACACCAAACTTCCGGGCCAACCCTAAAATGCAACCACCTCTGGGGCAGGCTGTTGGCAGCTGTTCAAGAGTAGCGCCGCCGCTTAGGACAGGAAGCGACTCACAACCCTGCTTGAAACTGCGGAAGCAATGGAGGGACGTGGGTCTTCATTACGCGCCGCGGACCTTCCTGTGGACAGAGCGCCCTCTCTGGTTTTGAAAAGCGCCACACACAGGCAAGAACTTGGTTTCACCCCTTGTGGGGAAAGGCAGAAACTTAGACACATCCTCGGAGCATAGGCTCAGAGAGGAGAGCACCCCTCGTACAGCAGAGCCTTACCAGTCCCTGCAGAACAGAACTCCCTAGCAGTACCCTGTCTCCCAGGGAAGCGTACCCCCGCTCCTAGAGCCTCAACACCACCACACGGTCTCCCATCCAAGCCCCCATCCCAAAGCAAAGACACCTACCTTTCTGGCAGTAGCTGGATGTCCAGCAGCGATACTCTAGATGCCCATTGACGCTGGTCTGGACGCAGGGCTTCTCCACGTCCAGGATGCCCGGGCACACGTCGGCACACTCCTCCACCTGCTTGTTGCTCACGATGTAGTTGTTCTCCACCGAGTCGAGCAGGAGCAGCCCCCAGTCGATGGTGGAGATGTGGCAGAGCTCCTGGTTGCGTTCAATGCGCACCGAGCCCCGCAGGATATCGGTCAGGCTGTGCAAGCCGATGTCCCTGAGGTGGGGCATCTCGAAGATGACCAGGGCATAGTTGAAGAAGAGGTTAGTGCCCCGGATGACGGACAGGTTGGGAAAGAGGTCACGCAGGCTCTCCAGCCCGTAGACCCGGAAGAGGAGCAGGTACTCGGTGATCATGATGAGGCGGGGGAAACTGAGGCCGCGGAAGTCCTCGGCGGCGGTGGTGAACATGAGGAGGATCTGCAGGTTGCCCTCGATGATGGTGCAGTTCTCCAGCTTCCTCAGCTGGGAGACGTCGTTGCGGATGTCCATGCTGCAGCAGACTGGAAGAGAATAACACAAGGCATGAGCCCTCCAAGCCAGCCCAGGCTTGGCCTAGATTTTGGGGAACCGGCCTTCAATTCCCCGCTCACTTAGACCCAGCTTCTCACTGTTTCATTTCAGGTTGGGTCAACGATAGATACTACGTCCAGCTGAGCCGCTACAGTGCCACATGGGAGATGTAGTTCTAGGTCTCAAACGCTTCCATTCTCTCTAAGGGACTCTGCTCCCTGCTAGGACTACATCTCCCATGATGCATCACAGTTTTCAGCTGCGGTTGAATTGCCACAGTGTGTCATGGGAGGAGTAGTACGGCTAGGGAGCAGGACCCATAAAGGAACATAAGGGCATGAAGGATGCAGAACTACAGCGCCCATGAAGCACCGCGATGGCTCAAAACCAAAACATTTAGACATTTCCAAATGGACGGAACTCTCTTTTCTACAAAGTGTTGATATTTTGACTTTTTGTCCCGATTCAACATGGAAAAAAAAAAAACGGTCAAAATCCCAGAATTTCCCACGGGATGGAAATTCTGTTTTTCTCTCCTCTCGGCAGCACTCCGATGTGTGCTAGGAAAGCAGAACTGGCACCATTTTAAAATCGATTTAGTTCAGCCCAGCAAATAACTGGATGTAGACGCAATCAGAATGATGGATAGATGGAAAGATAGATACAGATGGAGACAGATAAAGTGGGGGGTGGTGTGATAGATAGATAGATAGATAGATAGATAGATAGATATGGCAACAGAAAGGTAGACAGATAGATACACATGGTGCCAGAGGGTATGTCTACACTGCACTATAAGCCCAGGGTTAGGGGGACTCAAGGCAGCTGACCCGTATTAGAGAACCTAGGGCTTGAACGTCTACATTGATTCTTAATGGGTTGCTAGATTAGATGTGTTGCCTGTTAGTTACTTCCCCACAGTTTCTCAATGGAAGTTTCCAGCTCCTCTGGGCTTCCACTGATTGCCTCACCTAGCGCTCCACACAGTGGGGAAGGGCTGGTACCTGTGGGAGGGAGGGATGGAAAATCCCAGCAGCCGAGGGCAGGTGCCCTTCGTAGCCTGCCTTCAGGCAGACAAGCCTGCAGGGAGAGAGGGACTGGGCCGCCCTAGCGCACACTGGGACACTCCTGCCCAGGGGAACCGTGTCCCCATGTGAGGGCAGCTGGATCAGCCAGAAGGACAGACTCTGCAAGCCGAGGTGCATTGGGAGCTCCAGCCAGTTCCAGATGAGCCCAAACCCCCTGGCCAGTGGGAGATCTGTGCACCAGCCCCCTCCCCTTTGTATCGCAGTAGCCTATAGATCAGTGATTCTCAAACTTTTGTCCTGGTGACCCCTTTCACACAGCAAGCCTGAGTGCGACCCCCCTTATAAATTAAAAACACTTTTTAATATATGTAACGTCATTATAAATGCTGGAGGCAAAGCGGGGTTTGGGGTGGAGGCTGACAGCTTGCGACCCCCCCATGTAGTAACCTTGTGACCCCCTGAGGGTCCCAACCTCCAGTTTGAGAACCCCTGATGTCGATGATCCAGCCCCATGGGGCTCTGATCCACCAAGACCAGAGTCCCATTGTGCAAGGTGCTGCACATATGTGTCATACGGGACATTCCCGTCCTCAGAGAGCTTACAATCTAAAGATACAAGACATGCAAAGGAAGGGTGATTATCTCTAGGTTACAAATGGGGGAAACACCCATATTAAGTGATTTGCCCAGGGTCAGCCAGGCAGCCTGTGGCAGTAGAAGGACTGGAACTCAGCTCTCCTGTGCCCCAGGCCAGTGCTCTAACCAAAGACCAACCTTCCTCCCTAGAGCCTGCTGTTGGCACACCTCTATAATCCAGCCCCTTCCCCACCCCCACCCCCTGCATTTCCCTCCACCCAAACCTTGATGGGCACAGATGGTCATAAAATATGGCTGCACAACATGGTGGTAACATATAAGACAGCGTGGATCAGTGGTTAGAGCACTCAGCTAGGACACCGGAAACCTGGATTCTATTCCCAACTCTGATGCTGGGTGATCTTAGACAAGGCACACTCTCTGCCTCAGTTTCCCCATCTGTCAAAGAGGGATAATGATACTGACCTCCATTGTAAAATGCTTTGAGATCTACTGATAAAAAGCAATATGGTGATATTATCATTATATGCTGAACCAAAGGCCCAGGTCCCAAACCACCTAAATTTTGGAGAATGGAGGGAGTGGTTTGAAATAACGGTCTGAATTTTGTGATGGTGGCCTATATCTGTACAATGAGCAGAATCAAAGCTCCATGTTGGATCTGAGTGAAAGTGTTTGGGTTTATTTCCCCCACCCTGTCCCTGCCCCCAGGAAAATTTTTGGAATGAAAATGAAAGTTTTCCCCGGGAAATTTTGAAACAAAACTTTTTCATTTCAATTTGATTCCAATCGAAATTTGAATCATATTGAAAAAAAACCGGCCCTTTCATTCCAGCGTTGGAAAAAAACGAGTCATCTTGAATTGAAACCTTTTGTTTCGTTTCAAAATCTCCCCGTGGGAATAATCAAAACTTCCATTGGAGAAAAAAAGACCTTTCCCAGTGGAAAAAAGTCAGTTTTGACACCACCCACCCTAAGAAAATCTGAGATTTTTTCATCAGGAAAAAAGTGTAGTGGAAACATTTCAGTTGGGCCTCCACATACAACCCACCCAATCTGCAGGGGTGTTGGAACAATTTGTATAGGGGGGCTGCTGAGAGCCATTGAACCAAACTGTAAACCCTGCGTCTGATGGAAACCATGTCCAGACAGGGGTTCCAGCACCCCGATGACCTGCCTTTCACAGCGCAGTTCCATCTTTAGCTAGCACACTGCTCCAACACACAGGCTGGAAACCACCTCATCTGGCTGGTAGCAACCATCCGAGCTCCCTGGCATCTGATTTTCTCATCCCCAAGCGCCTCTAATCTCTCTCCCATGGCTGATATTTACCGAGGGGGTTAAGTAACCTCCTGAGAGGTTATTCTCATTAACACCCCCCCCCTTCCAGGCCAGCATTGCTAAATAGGTGTGTGTGACACCAGGTCACACCAGGTCACACACAAACACAGCATGTTCTCAACACCCCACGTCCAGAGAACATGCACTTTCTGTCCCACACAGGTATTTCTGATTTGTTGCCCAATGGTTTTATATACACATTTCCCAAGCAATTAGAGGAAGGATGGTCTTCGGGAGAAAGCCCTGAGCAGGACATCACGCAATCCTCAATTCAACTCCCAGTTCTACCTCAACTCCCCCTGCACGAACCTGGGCTAGGTGCCTCATTTCCCAGTTAGGACAATACTTCTGTCTTGCCTTGCTATGTACAGCCCCTAGCGCAACAGGACTCTGGTCTCAGCTGGACCCTCAGTGTCCTATTGTAACGCTCTGAATAACTGATTCTGGAGCATGCTCTGTGCTTGTGACTTTAAAAAAAAACAACCAAATCCATTCAAATCGCACATTGGGATTAACTTTAAGCACTGGTCCCCAGCACCACTATTAAACCAGCAGGGTCCTTTTACATCAAACAAGGATAAAACAGAATACGGTTTTTAGGAACAGGTTTTGCTAGTCTGCAGCTGCAATGCAAATGATTTATTTCGAGTCTAACCATTCACATTATATAGAGTCAAATGTCTGAAGTATATTAAGGCCAGGTTAGCACATGATGACACATTTATGGATTATGAGAATTATGTACATTAAAAAGATTTAATAGCAACAAACCCAAGCAAACCGAGAAGTGCATTTCTTCCCGACTAGCGTCCACCAGGGAGCTAGCCCACCACAGCTATTCCAGACAACTTCCCCGTTGTGTCTTTTACCCTTCTGAGACCTGTCATGGAGGCCCATTCAGTTTACTATGTCTTTCAACAGAGCCTTCAGCCCTGTCTGCTCAGAGGGGACAATAGATGACTGAGGGCGCTAGGTGCCAATTGCAGAGGTCACCGGTTCTTGCGCCGTAACCTGCCGGGTGCAGCGGCTCCGCTGCCCTTCTCCCCCTGGCTGACAGGCCTGTAGACACCAGCCAGGTAGTTGCCCGTGGACGTGGTGTGGAGAAAGTGGATAAGGAAAAGTTATTTACTTGTTCCCATAATATAAGAACTAGGAGCCACCAAATGAAATTAATGGGCTTAAAACAAATAAAAGGAAGTTCTTCTTCACACAGCACACAGTCAACCTGTGGAACTCCTTGCCTGAGGAGGTTGTGAAGACTAGGACTATAACAGGGTTTAAAAGAGAACTGGATAAATTCATGGAGGTTAAGTCCATTAATGGCTATTAGCCAGGATGGGTAAGGAATGGTGTCCCTAGCCTCTGTCTGTCAGAGGATGGAGATGGATGGCAGGAGAGAGAACACTTGATCATTACCTGTTAGGTTCACTCCCTCTGGGGCACCTGGCATTGGCCACTGTCGGTAGACAGGATACTGGGCTGCATGGACCTTTGGTCTGACCCAGTACGGCCGTTCTTATGTTCTTATGTGAAGGACTGAGCCCAGTTGCTAGTGAGGACTGGCCCCAGGACTGGAGCTGGGGTCCCCCTACCCTACCCTACCTGTAATATTGGAGTCTCCCATAAATGTTCCTTTGCTGGAAGAAACAGCCTGAATGCTCTTCTGCTCAGAACAGGCCAACGTCCAACTCTGCAGGCCCCTAAGCCTGTCCGGCCGCTGGCCAGGAAATTCGCCGAGGGTCTGATATTAGAGACCAGCGGGCAGGGAGCTGCATGCCACCCACCCCATGTCTTCCCATCCTGCCGCTCGGCATGGAAGCGACGTGCTGGTCACCAGCTTGACAGAGCAACGGGGGCACATGGAGACCACACTTCCCAGCATGCAATGCTCCGTCAAGAACCAAGCCGTGGGGCAGTAGCATCGTCTGGGGAGGGTGGGGGGGGCTGTCAGGAGAGAGCACTGCATGATGGGCTACGTCATCCCCATGGCCAGCCAGTCCCTCCTGAGTTTCGCAGGTCAAACT